AGGAGAAATAAAATTATTTACAGGCAAGCAAATGCTTAGAGATTTTGTCACCACCAGGCCTGCTTTATAAGTGCTCCTGAAGAAACCACTAAACATGGAAAGAAACAACTGGTACCAGTCACTGCAAAAAACATGCCAAACTGTAAAGACCATTGATGCTAGGAAGAAACTGCATCAATTAATGGGCAAAATAACCAGTCAACTTCATAATGACAGGACCAAATTTACATATAACAATATTAACCTGAAATGTAAATGGGCTAAATGCCCCAATTGAAAGACACAGACTGGCAAATTGGATAAAGAGTCAAGACCCATCAGTGTGCTATATTCAGGAGACCCATCTCATGTGCGAAAACACACATAGAATCAAAATAAAGGGATGGAGAAAGATCTACCAAGCAAATAGAAAGCAAAAGAAAAGCAGAGTCTGCAATTCTAGTCTCTGATAAAACAGACTTTAAACCAACAAAGATCAAAAGAGACAAAGAAGATCATTACATAATGATAAAGGGATCAATTCAACAAGAAGAGTTAACTATCCTAAATGTATATGCACCCAATACAGGAGCACCCAGATTCATAAAGCAAGTCCTTAGAGACCTACAAAGAGACTTAGACTCCCACACAAAAATAATGGGAGACTTTAACACCCCACTGTCAATATTAGACAGATCAATGAGACAGAAAGTTAACAAGGATATCCAGGACTTGAACTCAGCTCTGCACCAAGCAGACCTAATAGACATCTATAGAACTCTCCACCCCGAATTAACAAAATATGCATTCTTCGCAGCACCACATCACCCATATTATAAAACTGGCCACATAATTGGAAGTAAAGCACTCCTCAACAAATGGAAAAGAACAGAAATCACAACAAACTCTCTCAGACCACAGTGCAATCAAATTAGAACTCAGGATTAAGAAATTCACTCAAAACCACACAACTACATGGAAAGTGAACAACCTACTCCTGAATGACTACTGGGTGAATAACAAAATGAAGCAACTTCAGCAAAGTCTCAGGATACAAAATCAATGTGCATAAGTCACAAGCATTCCTATACACTGGTAACAGACAAACAGAGAGCTAAATCATGAGTGAAATCCTATTCACAATTGCTACAAAGAGAATAAAATACCTAGGAATCCAACTTACAAGGGATTTGAAGGACCTCTTCAAGGAGAACTACAAATCACTGCTCAATGAAATAAAAGAGGACACAAACCAATGGAAGAACATTCCACGCTCATGGATAGGAAGAATCAATATCGTGAAAATGGCCATACTGCCCAAGGTAATTTATAGAGTCAATGCCATCCCCACCAAGCTACCAATGACTTTCTTCACAGAATTGGAAAAAACTACTTTAAAGTTCCTATGGAACCAAAAAGAGCCCGCATAGCCAAGACAATCCTAAGCAAAAAGAACAAAGCTGGAGGCATCATGCTACCTGACTTCAAACTATACTACAAGGCTACAATAATGAAAACAGCATGGTACTGGTACCAAAACAGATAGATAGACCAATGGAATAGAACAGAGACCTCAGAAATAACCCCACACATCTACAACCATCTGATTTTTGACAAACCTGACAAAAACAAGAAAGGGAAAAGGATTCCTTATTTAATAAGTGGTGCTGGGATAACTGGCTAGCCATATATAGAAAACTGAAACTGGATCCTTTCCTTACACCTTATACAGAAATTAATTCACAATCAATCAAAGACTTAAATGGTAGACCTAAAACCATCAAAACCCTAGAAGAAAACCTAGGCAATACCATTCAGGACACGGGCATGGGCAAGGACTTCATGACTAAAACACCAAAAGCAATGGCAACAAAAGCCAAAGTAGACAAATGGGATCTAATTGAACTAAAGAGCTTCTGCAAGGCAAAAGAAACTACCATCAGAGTGAACAGGCAACCTACAGAATGGGAGAAAATGTTTGTAATCTACTCATCTGACAAAGGGCTAATATCCAGAATCTATAAATAACTCAAACAAATTTACAAGAAAAAAACAAACAACCCCATCAAAAAGTGGGCAAAATATATGAACAGAAACTTCTCAAAAGGAGACATTTATACAGTCAACAGACACATGAAAAAAATGCTCATCATCACTCGCCATGAGAGAAATGCAAATGAAAACCACATTGAGATACCATCTCACACCAGTTAGAATGTCAGTCATTAAAAAGTCAGGAAACAACAGATGCTGGAGAGGATATGGAGAAATAGGAATGCTTTTACACTGTTGGTGGGAGTGTAAATTAGTTCAACCATTGTGGAAGACACTGTGGCAATTCCTCAAGGATCTAGAGCAAGAAATACCATTTGACCCAGCAATCCCATTACTGGGTATATACCCAAAGGATTGTGAATCATGCTACTATAAAGACACAGGCACATTTATGGTTATTGTGGCACTATTCACAATAGCAAAGACCTGGAACCAACCCACATGTTCATCAATGATAGACTGGATTAAGAAAATGTGGCACATATATGCAATGGAATACTATGCAGCCATAAAAAAGCATGAGTTCATGTCCTTTGTAAGTACATGGATGAAGCTGGAAACCATCATTCTCAGCAAACTATCACAAGGACAGAAAACCAAACACCGCATGTTCTCACTTACAGGTGAGAATTTAACAATGAGATCACTTGGACACAGGGTGGGGAACATCACACACCGGGGCCTGTCAGGGAGTGGGGGGCTGGGAGAAGGATAGCATTAGGAGAAATACCGAATGTAAATGATGAGTTGATGGGTGCAGCAAACCAACATGGCACATGTATACCTATGTGTCAAACCTGTATGTTGTGCAGATGTACCCTAGAATTTAAAGTATAATAATAATAATAAAAGAAAATCTTTTGGGATGAAAATAAGTCTAGACCCTCAACCAATGCATCTTCCCACCTTCTGGCAAGGAGGGGAAAGAAGGGCTCATACCTAGTGTCTCTTTGCTGCAGTGGGGCCAGGGTCACAGTGAGGAGACTGGAGCTCAGAAGCAGGAGGGCAGGTGCATGGCCTCCACCTTGCAGAGGAGATCGCGTGTGGGTTTGGTTCTGGTAGAGAGGCCCAAGGCTTCTAGCAATCTTCCCAGTGCTGAGTCGAGCCCTGCCTGCCTGACCTCAGGTACAATCCTGGTTTCCTTTTCTTTCTTTATTTCTGTAAAAACACGTGGTGAATGCTCGCCTGCCTGTAGGGTTTGGGAAAGGATGCTCCCTCCCATCATCTGTCCACAGCTGCTGCAACTGTCCCCAGCCATGGGGAGGGCCTGCTTCTCTGGAACAGTGAAGGTGTCCTCAGGCACCCTTAGGAAGGGGCAGGGGCTGATCCGGGCCCCAGTGTCCCATCAGCTCCCTGGAGTTCTTCAGGTTCCAGGGAGAGGCCTGGGCTGGGTCTCCTGGGTGGGCCTCCTGGGTGGCTCTCAGCTGGACTGTCCTCCACCCCTCACCCAGCACAGTGATGGAGCCATAGCACGCAGTGTGTGGTCCAGGATTTGGAGCAAGAGACTGAGGAAGGGGGCTGGCGGGGAGAGAACGTCACTTTCTGAGTCCCGCGCACCATCCACCCAGCAGCTGCTGAGGCCCGTGGCTCACCTTTGACCCTCACTGTGACCTGGCTGATCTTTTGGAAAGGTTGGTCCAGGCAGCTGGCAATATCCAGGAGGTGGACTCTGGGGACACCAACTCCAGAGATGCTCACATGCTGTTTTATCTAGAAAGCAAAGAATAGCATTAGAAAACCAAAGTAGATTTCTTGCTCTTAGCTGATTACAACTCCTATTACTGTGCATTCAGCAGGGCCACCCTCAGACTCAGGCCCTGCTCATCTCCAGCAAGGGTTCCCTCTGTCCCAGCAGGGAGGCCGCATAGCTTACAAGTGCCCTGTCTCTCTCCTTAGGGTTGTTTTCCCAGACCCTCTGCTCTTCCTGCTCTGGGAGGGTTGACTCAACAAGGACAGCTTTTGGTATTTGCAGTGGCAGACTGAACCCCAGCTACCATTCTTGAGCTCTTATTCGTGCCATGAAGCGTGTTTCACATGCTCTCAGAGTGGTCTGGGCTCACAGCAACTGTCCAACAGCAGCCCAGGTCAAAGCATAGATGTGGTGCAAAACCCACCCACAGGTGAGGGTGGTGCTGGGAGAGCCTTGCTGGAAGACTTGATGGCAGAGCTGGAGTTTTGAGGGATGAATAAGAGTTTACTGGCGTGGAGGTGAGCATGGGAGGGGAGAAGGAAGACATTCCAGGCAGGCCATAGGACATGTTCAATGACACAAGACAGGCCACTGTGTTGAGGAAATGGAGCCGTAGGAGGGTGTTTCATAAAACAGTAGATGGATCTGAGCAGAATACACTCAAGACCACATCATCCCTTTTTCTAGGAGTGCCCTCCTCAGCCCACCATTCAGATAACAGGTTCTTAGAGGCCTCCTCTTTTCCCAGCCACTGTATTGTTGGTCAGTTTGAGCTCCTCTACCTGTCCTGATCAGGTAAATTTACTCATCAGCATAACTAAATCCTTACATTTTACACCGTGGACTTCGAATCAGCCAGTGCTTGCTGGGGTTGTCAAGACCTCTTATATGAGTTATTTCACCAGATTCTCAAGTTTATCTATCCATGAGAAATGAGTTGTGAGAAAATGGAGGCTCAAAGATATGACTTGTTTAAAGCTAGATAGCCAGGAAGTAGAGAAGCTTGGTCTTGCAACCTGACTCTTGGATAAAGTCTAACATTTCCTCACCATGCATACCTACAGCTATTTTAGTGTCAACAGAAGGGCACAGTAAATGGGGAGAAATTTGCCACAGTCCCTGCAAGTGAGGTCAGTCCTGCAAGTCCAAGTTCAAAGAGCTGAGACAGTGGTGGCCACAGCTGATCTTTTTTTGAATGCCATCACTGTGTGCATGCCTTCTGTAATTTACTCCTCATAATCCAATGATGTGATGTGTCTTTATTTCCCCTCTCCAGGTGGAAACACAAGGTTATCTGAGGGAAGCAACTCCATGGGCCTTGCCATGCCTGCCTCAGCACAGGAGGGCAGTGCTGAGCTAAGGGCTGTCACTGACTGCCCCTGCGGGATCCAGACACCCCACCCGGCAGCTTGCTAGATAAGCAGGCAGATAAGCAACTGGATCCTGCCATTGTTTGCCTGAGCAGAGGAAGAGGAAGACGGACAGCCCACAGCCCCTCTGCCTGCCAAGGGTACTGCCTTCTTCAACATTCAGCCCAAAGCAAGTGGTCTACATTTGCTGTGGCTGGGAGAAAAAATAAACACAGAAACTGTGAACTGATATGTTAGGTTGCTAAGGAAAGAGCTGCTTACAGCTTGGGGAACTAAAAGGACACTCACATTTTGTCTTGTCTTTTAACTCTTTCTTCTTCAGTATCATTAGGGGTGCTCCTGGGATCACTACTGGAAAGGGATGAGAAAGACACAGAGCAATGTAGAGAGAGCGTGCTGACTGCTGAGACCGCTGCCCACTCTATGGGGACTTTGAAGGCTGAGATAACCCTTCAGAGTTGTCTTGGAGGGACAAGGGGCCCAGGCTCTCATGGCCCCCATTGAGCAGTCTGGGGATGCCATCCCGGAAGAAGGCGTAACTTTGGGTGGGGGGCTCTCTCCAGGCCAGACAATCCTGGAGGAATTGACCATGCAGCTGGGGGCTCTGGAGCTGGGGCTATGCTTGTCATTCCTGAAACCGGTTTGAGGGATGCATCAGTTGCAGAGTCCTCTGCACACCTTTCCCGATATCTCGGCATCTCTTAAGGTTTAAGTTATGTCTATTAGGAACTAGAAGCTCTCTGCTTCTCTGCAGATGCCCTGGTTGCCTCCATAGACATCATTCTTTGTTAGCATCACCAACTTTGTCCACCCAGGGTCACAAAATTTTGCATAGAAGCTCCATTGTCTGAAATTCTCAAGAATAACTGTGTCCTGATCCCACTGGGGAAGCTGAGGTGGATAGGTCAGGCAGCAGCAGCCAATCGAGGTAGGAGGAGTTGCTTCTGGTCTGGTCCAATTAGTAGAACTGGACAGTGCCCTTTGCAGTGTCCAGACAGAAGACTCTAAGGTTCTGCTTGGACCCAGGCAGGGATGGGAGCATGATATACCACATGGCATATGGTTCAATGGGCAGCTCTCAGACATGAACACTGGTTACCACCAAGTTGAAGCTTTCCTGGCATCTGTCTTTGGTCCTAGAACCATCCTGTGGGGGTAAAGGGAAGTCTGGTCCATTTTTTGGGCCAGACTTTTTTAAGACTACCGTAATAGTCTTCAGATACACAAATACTGAATCTCTGATTCCATCTTGTTTTGTCATCAGACTCTGTAAAGTGGGAGCATGCTATAGTGAGGGAGAGGAGAGGGGAGTTGGAAAGATAACTAAGAGCTTATTGGATACGATTTAGATACTTTTCTCTCAAAATGTGATGAAAAGTGCTTTTTGTTTTCTTTCTTTTCTCTTTTTGCCCTTGTTATTCATGTAAAATGTACATACATAAAGTGTGCAAATTAATAGATCTATAGATCACTTTGTGTGTATTGCCATCTCAACAATATTAAGTCTTCCAATCCATGAACATAGGACGTCTTTCATTTGCTTAGGTATTCTTCAATTTATTTCAGTAAAGTTTTCTAGTTTTCAGTGTACAAGTGTTGCTCCTCCTTGGTTAAATTTATTACTAAGCATACTATTTTTTGATACTATAGTAAATGGCATTGTTTTTAAATTTTCATTTCAGGTTATTTATTAATAATGTATAGAAATACAACTTTTTGTTGATTTGGTATTCTGCAACTTTACTGAATGCTTTTATTAGCTTTAATAGTTTTTAATGGATTCTTTGGCATTTTTCTATTTATCAGATTATTTCACCCGTGAATAGAAATGATTTACTTCTTGTTCTTTAATCTGAATGCTGTTGTGAGCTGAATTGTATTCCTCCAAATTCATATTCCTCCAGCACTTCAGAATATGATTGTATTTGAAAACAGATCCTTTAAAGAGGTAATATGATGCTATATGGGTGTATCCTAATCTAATCTGACTGGTGTCCTTGCAAGAAGAGAAAATTTGAACACACAAGGAGACACCAGGGGTGCACACGCACAGAAGGTGACCATGTGAAAAGGCAGAAATAAGGTAGTCATCTGCAAGCCAAGGAGAGAGGCCTCAACATCAAGAGAAACCAACCCTGATGACACATTGATCTTGTACTTCTGGCCTCCAGAACTATAAGAAAATAAATGTCTGCTATTTAAGCCACCCAGTCTTTGCAACTTTGTTGCTGAACAAACTAGTTAACTAATACAGATACCTTTGTTTTATTATTGAATAATAACATTGATGCCCCAGGAAATTGTGCATTGTCTATTTTGTGCCCCAGGTACCCAAGCCAAGTAAAAGAGGATTTCGAAAATATTGTGATAAAATGGAATTAAAGATAAAAATTTATTTCTCAACATAAGCAAGATGAAGAAACTTTTGAAACCAGTGATACAAGCTGTTCAGTCCATCCCTAAAAAAACTGAGGGTCCTGGGAATTTAAGCATGTTAATCAGGTTTTTAAAACATAATTAACTGAAAAAATGGGTGCCCTTTAAAGATTTTTTAACATTAGAAAAAAAAGAAGGAAGAGGAGCCAAACTAGGCCTGTGAAGTGAGTGCCTAATGATTTCCCACTGAAGCTGTGGCAAAATTGCCCTTGTTTACTGAGAGAAATGAGCAGGACCATTGTCATGGTGGATAAGGGCTCTCTCATGAAGTTTTCTTAGGCATTTTTCTGCTAAAGCTTTGGCTAACTTTCTCAAAATACTCTTATAATAAGTAAATGTTATAATTCTCTGGCCCCCCAGAAAGTCAAAAAGCGAAATGCCTTGAGCATCTCAAAAACTATTGCCATGACTTTTGCTCTACATTGGTCCACTTTTGCTTTGACTGGATCCCCTCCATCTTTTGGTAGCTGTTTTGGTAAATTGTGATTCATCTTCAAGATTGTACTGGTAGAGCCATATTTCATGTCCTGTAATAACCCTTTGAAGAAATGCTTCAGGATGGAGATCCCATTTGATTAGAATTTCCGTGAAAACCTCTGTTCTTGTCTGCTGCTGATCTGGGTGCAAGAGTTTTGGCACCCACTGAGTAGAAAATTTACTCAACTTTAATTTTTCAGACAGAATTTTGTAAACTAAACTAATTGAGGTGTCTACTGTGTTGACTATTTTTGTGTAGTTAATCATTGGTCCTCTTCAGTTAGGACGTGAACAAGATGAATATTTTTCTCACAAATTAATGTTGGATGCTTTACTATCACGGGCTTCATTTTCAGCATTGTCTTGTCTGTTCTTAAATGAGTTATCCATTTGCAAACTGCTGATTTCTTTGGGTCATTGTCCCTATGAAATTTTCATAAAGCATCCATGTTTCACCATTCTTCCACTCAAGCTTCACTACAAATTTGATGTGTTTTGGGTCTTTTCTGCTCAGAGACCTTTCTCTCCATATAGAGAGAGCTGTTCCTTTTTCTCTTCTCTTCTGCCTATTAAGCCTCTGCTCCTAAACTCTTCATTTGTGTCTGTTTCCTAAATTTCCCTGGTGCATATGAACCCCAGGGTATATACCCCAGACAATGTAACCATTTCATATTGGGGACCTCATCTGGAATATCAAGGTACAACATTCATCAAAATGTGATAAAAGTTACAGGTATCAATGTCTGGATACATCATACTCCAGTCAAAGCCTAGAACGCTGATGGAGCAACCCTTGACAGCCCAGATAAACATCCTGGATACCAATTTGAAGAAATAGGAGATCTTAGGTGACAATCATAAAGGACAAATAAATGAGCAAGGGCTACTCATCCCACTCAGTCCCACCTTTACTTTCCGTCATTTCTACTTTTCCCCTCGAGATGTGCTGTCAGATATTAAAACTTATTTTTGATGCATATTTGCAGGGAGGTTTTAATTATCCATGGGATTGCATTTGTAACTTCATAGACCCCCAGAAGGGAAATGTTGTGTCTTGGCAATTTAGATGAAAATTATCTACTACACCACACTTGCAGGAATTGCGATACTGTATTTGCAGTGAGACTATATGCTGTGACACCTTCTAACTGGAATATCAGACATAGAGTTTCCATTGCTATAATATTTTGCTTAATTATTATCCTTATAGCAGGAATAATAGTTACCAACAAAAAGGAAGCATGAAAATTTTACTGTCACTGAGTCCACAAAGACTTTTTATTGGGTTTGGTAATATATCACACCCTGGCTATGAAAAGAAGGTTATAAAGGAAAGAGATTTTATATAACAAAGGATCTTGGAGAGTAAATACTTGTCTTAAAGAAAATAGTTGGTTGTTGAAAAGAGATGTTTAGGACAAGTCAGAAGGTTTAAGCATGTTGTTGATGGTTGTGGAAATCAAGAAAAGATTATAAGGATGGATGGTAAATACTTGTCCTAAAAAGAATGGTTGGTTGTTAAAAAGAAGAATATTCAGGACAAGTCAGAAAGTTTAAGCATATCATAGATGGTTTGTGGAAGCCATGAAGGAATTAGTTGCAGGAAAGACTTAGCTAAGATTTACACTAAAATTACACTTGCCACTCAATAACATACTTCTCCCAATCACATTGCAAGTTATAAAAGATGACCTAGACCTGAAATTATTCCCTAATGGCAAATCAAGGGGGGAATATATGTTTTTCTCAAAGAAAAAAATGTTGAAAAGATAAATAAAAGTGATAGACCATCAGCAAGATTAACCAAGAAGAGAGAAAATTCAAATAACCTCAATAAAAAGCGAAATAAGAGATATTACAACTGACACCACAGAAATACAAAAGATCATTCAAGGTTACTATAAACACTTTTACATACATAAGCTAGAAAACCTAGAAGAGATGTATAAATTCCTGGAAAAATACAACCCTCCTAGCTTAAATCAGGAAGAATTAGATACCCTTAACAGACCAATAACAAGCAGTGAGATTGAAATGGTAATTTAAAAATTATCAACAATAAAAATCCAGGACCAGATGGATTCACAGCAGAAATCTACCAGATGTTCAAAGAAGAATTGATACCAATCCTTTTGACACTATTCCACGAGATAAACAGGGAACCCCCTACTTCCTTCTATGAAGCCAGCATCACCCTAATATCAAAACCAAGAGAAGACATAACCAAAAAAGAAAACTACAGACTGATATCCTTGATGAGCATAGATGCTAAAATCTTTAACAAAATACTAGCTGACCAAATCCAACAACATGTCAAAAAGATAATCCACAGTCATCAAATGACTTTCATACCAGGGATGCAGATATGGTTTAACATATGCAAGTCAATAAATGTAATACACCACATAAACAAAATTTTTAAAAAATCATATGATTATCTCAATAGATGCAGAAAAAACATTTGACAAAATCTAGCATCGCTTTATGATTAAAACTCTCAGCACAATCGGCATACAAGTGATATACCTCAATATAATAAAAGCCATCTATGACAAAACTAAAGGCAACATAATCCTGAATGGGCAAGAGTTGAAAGCATTCCCTCCGAGAACTGGAACAAGACAAGGATGCCACTTTCACCACTCCTCTTCAGCATAGTACTGGAAGTCCTAACCAGAGCAATCAGACAAGAGAAAGAAGTAAAGGGCATACAAATCGGCAAAGAAGTCAAATTGTCACTGTTTGCTGACGATATGATCATTTACCTTGAAAACCCTAAAGACTCCTCCAGAAAACCCCTAGAACTGATAAAAGAATTCATTGAAGTTTCTGGATACAAGATTAATGTACACAAATCAGTAGATCTTATATCCACCAACAGTGACAAAGCAGAGAATCAAATCAGGAAATCAACCCCTTTTACAATAGCCATAAAAAACAAAAAACTTAGGAATATACCTAACCAAGGAGGTGAAAGACCTCTACAAGGAAAACTACAAAACACTGCTGAAAAAAATCATAGATGATACAAACAAATGGAAACACATTCCATGCTCGTGGATGGGTAGAATCAATATTGTGAAAATGTCCATGCTGCCAAAAGCAATCTACAAATTCGGTGGAATCCCCATCAAAATACCACTATCATTCTTCACAGAATTAGAAAAAACAATTCTAAAATTCATATAGAACCAAAAAAAGAGCCCACATAGCCAAAGCAAGACTAAGAAAAAAGAACAAATCTCAAAGCATCACACTACCTGATTTCAAACTATACTATAAGGCCATAGTCACCAAAACAGTGTGGTACTGGTATAAAAATAGGCACATGGACCAATGGAACAGAATTGAAAACCCAGAAATAAACTCAAATTCTTACGGATCTTGGACAAAGCAAACAAAAAAATAAAGTGGGGAAAGGACACAGTTTTCAACAAATGGTGTGCTAGGGTAATTGGCTAGCCACATGTAAGATAATAAAACTAGATCCTCATCTCTCACCTTATACAAAAATCAACTGACAAGAGATATGTGATATGGTCCCAATCTTCACAAACTCCTATTGATCACTAAACTGGGCTGACTGTCAATAACATTTTGTTAAGGGAAGAAATCAGTAAATGGATGGGTTTTGTTAAAGGAAGACTAAGTAAATGGATGGGTTTTGTTAAAGGAAGACTAAGTAAATAGATGGGTTTTGTTAAAGGAAGACTAAGTAAATGGATGGGTTTGTGTCCCCTTTCCTATCCACTTTCTGTGGAGGAGCTGGCAAGTTGTTTTTGCAAAACAACTCACTCCTTTCATCACTTGCTTGGATGTGGCTTGTCACCATACTGGCGCGTCAGCAGTACCAGCGAGGGATGCTGTGATGTGGCCCCTGCGTGGCTCTCTGCAGGCATCTCCCATGGCACTCCTGGCATTGCCCCTCTTGGCCACACCCACCTTCTCTCTTTTGTTTGCACACTCAGCTTCTCCAGTCTCTAAGGATCACTGGACTCCCTGCCCTCCTCACCCACACCCATAGGGCCCTGCTTGAGGTCTTTGCAGCTAGTTCCATGGTAAGGACAGGTCCTAGCACAGAGGTGACTCTCTTTTTTGCCCTGCCTAAGGAACCTGCCTACCCCCAGATGCTGTGACCTTCCCCATGTGCTGGTGCACTGGAGCTAAGCTCCTTCCTTGCTGAGGCTCGTGCATTATTCGAATCCCCCACTAGAGCACATGACCCTGAGCACAGGGACTTTATCTTAATTTGTTTCTCCATCCCTAGTGTCGACCACAGTGCATGCCTGGCACATGGAGAGCCCATGAATGCCTGAGTGAACGTTTCCAATTCCCAAAGCGTCTGTGTACCCAGAGGTGAAACAGAGTCAGGTGGGCGTGCACGCTGAACTCAGTTCCCTATCTGGCATCCTTAGGTTATAAGGGAAAATTTCCACATGGTTGAAGCTGAGAAATTTAAGTACATTTGAAAGAGTAATGTTCCCAGACGTTGTTCTGAAATGTATTAAACACAGACATCTCGGTTCTCAGGGGACACACGTGCCACCAATGTCACCTGTTCCTAATGATGGATTCCAAGCACACAGCTCACCCTGAACCTGGTACAGGAAGCCCCAGAGGCTGGGTGGGTCAGAGTCACATTTGCCTCTTGCCTATGACAGCAGGGGCTGTGCTTTCAGGATTGTGAGATGCATTCTCTTGGTTCTCTTCTTATTTTCATCCATAACCCGGAAAGGTTCTCCAAGGAGCCTGCAGTGACCTGACTTATCACTGAAATCCACCTACAAGCTGAGTGGCCCCTGCATCATCTGTGCGGTGCTCCCCTCCCTCTCCTGTGGCTTTGTCATTGCATGTTGTGGACTGGAAAAGGTCGAGGCCACCTTGTCCTGATCCACTCCAGTTTCAGCACTAAGGAGCCCGCCACTGGAGCCATGAGGCCCTGCTGCATCTCCTGGGCCACAGCACCACCCGGGGTGAGGAAGGAAAGCAGCTCTGGGGTGTGGGAGGGTGGGAGCACGTTCCCCAAACAAATATGGTGTCTGCTGGCCTCTGCCCAAGAGTGGGACCCACAGCCCTGCTCCCCATGTGAGATGAGCCCAGCCTCCCCCCAGGAGGCGATTTCTCCTCTCTGGGAAAGGCCACCCCACAATTTGATCTGATGAGAAACTTCACAGTTCTTTCCCCTCAAAGACTCAGAAGGCTATAAAGGCAGTTACAAGTGATTTTTAAAAGCTTTTTGGCTGGGCACAGTGGCTCAAGCCTGTAATCCCAGCACTTTGGGAGGCCAAGATGGGTGGATCACCTGAGGTCAGGAGTTCGAGACCAGTCTGACCAACATGGTAAAACTCTGTTTCTACTAAAAATACAAAAATTAGCTAGGCATGGTGGCATGTGCCTATAATCCCAGCTACTCTGGAGGCTGTGGCTGGAGAATCGCTTGAACTGGGAGGCAGAGGCAGCAGTGAGCTGAGATTGTGCCATTGCACTCTACCCTGGGCAACAAGAGTGGAACGCCTCTTAAAAAAAAAAAAAAAAAAAAAAAAAAAAAAAAAAAACGGCTTATTTTTGAGGCTGAAAATTACACTGAGGAAAGAGGAAAGATGAATAGAGAAGGAAAGGCCTGGAGACAGAAGTGGAAAATGGAGTGGTACGAGGAGGGGACAGGGCCACATGGCAGGGAGAATGGGAGGAGGGAGAGCAGCTGGGGTGGCTACAGGTGCGCATTTTGGCCAGAGGGGTGGATAAAGGAATCATCTTTGTTTATCAGATATTTCAGGAATGTGTGTTCTCTTTCTCACAACTGATAGAGGCCTTTTCCCTGGACACGTCCCAAATAGATAGAACTGGCAGAAAACCCTCGGAGCAGCCAGTGTCCAAGGTCCCCCAAGGTCACCACGCAGCCCTGCCCTCTGTCTGGGAGAGGAGGGGACTGGCCAGTTCTCAGCGCTGCGGGAGCGCAAATAACCCTGGCAAGGGA